CTCGATTTCTCAAGAATATTAATTTGAAAATGGTAGCCTCATCACTGCTGTTTTGGTAATAAAATCCTGCCAGAAGTTTCACCCCGTACCGCGCGAGTCTTCAAGTCAAGGCTGGCTTATAGCGGCGATAGATCCTCTTTTCGAATGCTCGTGATCTGCTTTTCGTCAAGTTAAGCGGCTTACCTGGGACGTTTTCCACTTGATCTAACGACCACTGATCCTGCTGTCTTGATGTTGCTGGAATAAATTTCCTAAGGATTTACGAAATAAAGTCGATTCAGGTCACGCAATGAGGTCTGTTACTTTCGTGTCGTTTAGGTCGAGCTTATCGTTCACCAAGAACGATATTCTGAGTTGGAGCTGTCCATCGTGCGAGTGCCAAAGCCTCAACCCATCGAAACCATGATAACTGGTATGAAAGAATTCATTTGAGTGCCCATTCGGTTAGGAGCGTAATCCCGGGACATGCTTTTAGGCGAAGACGGTATTGAAAAAGTGACGGAAGTGACACCTCCTGAACAAATTGAAGGCAGTATTCTTCAACAATTCATGCCGTACGGTCTTTTCATGCCTGAGAAAATACGCATGTTTGGCATTCCTGACGATCAGCAACTCACTGCCAAACAAGTGTTGCAGTTGTACACAACTATGGCGCAGGTAGATGAGAAAACCAGGTGCGTGTAATTTTATTTTTGTTGTTTCGGAGGAATATCGAAAAACATCATTTTGATGTCATGCATTTTGTAGGGATGAGTTCGAGCCATGCCGATATTATGGATATAGAGCAGCTGAACCCTTCTGGATATCACGCGCTTCTCTCCGAAAGCTTGAATCTGATTTGAAAAAAAGACTACTCCAGTGGTTGGCCGAAGATGAAGAGAAAATGAGGAGGGTGTGTCCATTTTTTCGTCAATGCCGTCATATTCAGAGCGTGCCAAAGCTATTTCCTCATGGCTATTCTCATTTTTCAGGTCATCGCAATTTTATCCAAACCCATCGATGAGCAGCTACAGCACCGAGCGGTTCCATTCAACAAGGTAAGCCTGTTGTGATTATGGGTTTAATTGCTGACTGTTGTTTGATTTTTTTATTTGAAATTCTTGTATTTAAACGTGGAAGCTTCAGGAGAAACCGTAGGAGGGTTTGCTAATAAGGCAAGTGTATAGTAGATAGGTTCACCGGCGTTAATGGGATTGTCCTTAGAGCTGCAGTTTCTAGAAAGGAAAAACGTGAAAAAAGATACCTTTTTGAATTGTTGCCAAAAATTCAAGTTGGATCTCATCCGGGAACTCCATTCTGGCGGATACATCTTTTCAATTGCTTTTAATTAGTCACGTTCTGTTGGACAAAGTAATCATTTCTCGTTCTTGGGAAGCTTGCATTCAATCCTTTTTCTCTCGTTCGGTTTTTTTCCTAACTTTTTTTGTAAACCTTTAACATCACTTTCATACTTTTCATTCATTATAAAATATGTTTACAGCCAAAACTGGCCCTCGACAATATCGTTAGATTGGTAGATGAGATGAATGAAAGGAATATGCTACCGGCGATGTGTTTCAATGACGATCGAAATGTTTGCGAATCGTTAGCGATACGACTTGCTGAGGAACTTGAAGCGAGAGAGACGGTGCGTGGGAATTATTTGTCGCCACATACAATTCATGTCGGGTTTCACGTCCACTATTTCAGGCGTTCATGAATAGTGCTGAATTCAAGACCAAGTATGCTATAAAGGACGAGGACGTTAGTTTTGGACTAAGTTTTTGGGCTTTATCTCAAACCAGGGAAAAGAGAAGTTCCTTTCTAGAAAGTGGATGCATTAAGACTTGGGCAAAAAAACGTGAAGCGAGACGTTTGGGCAAAGAGAAGAAGAAGCAGCGAAAGGTAAGCGGTGGTAAGGCTAAAGCGGATGAGTGAAGACAAAGACAAGAAGATGCGAAGGCCCTCCTGCGTGAGGAATGGAGGCCGGAATCCACGCGGCTCAGGCGAGCGAGGCTGAACAATTTCTGCAAGGGGGGACGTAAGACTTTAGAAAGCTTTGTGCTTCGGCACGGTTAGGGGTTATCGGAGGAGTGTAATTACCAAATCGTGGTTAATAGGTTCCGCTTGACGAGGTCGTGGGGGAGGAGATCCGGAGCTACTGAAAATATTTCAATCGATTGGATTATTGATGTTCTTTAAAAAGCGATTACATAGAAGTAACTGCTGTATACTAGCTGTTTCGCCAGCATGCTCTCGATTCAGTGGATCCCGAGTTTTGGAACACTAATAAGCACTTGTAAAGCACGATACAGCAACCATGGAACGGTAAAACTCGAGATAGAGATACTGCATGGCCTCAAATACGCGTTGGCAGAAGGGTGTTTGACAGGATTGAAAGGGAGGAGTCGCGCAAGCGACGGGGCCATGAGAGGAAGAGATGGCACAAAACGTCTCAGAATATGTAGAATCAGACAATAGTAGGAAAATAAAGAAGGACAAAGGCAAAGCTTCAGGACTATTTCCGTTGGCGCAGGGCTAGTGTACTTCAGATTCGGTGTATCGGGAAAGCTCAATCACTGTACCTCGCGCCGAACGCGTACCTCTCGCAGTCCAGAAGGTCTCTCATCGACACGAGTTACGGAAAGAGCGTCAATCAAATAATCATAGAGCTATAATCTGTGTTTCGTCAGAACCAGTTCGTAGACAATCTCGTTTAGTGCCACATCATCCTACGCGCTTCATGCCTTAGAATTGTTCGCGCTCGTGCTGTGGAAGTTAACTCTCGCTCGATTTCTTCTGATCAGTCCAGGATCGAACTTCCTGACCACCAGTAGAGGAAGTAAAATTAATGATTATAACTTCATAGTGCTGAACTGCTGAGATTAACGGTGGAACAATCAAATAAATAGATTTGATCTCACAAGTGATGGACGCGTGACTCACAGTAAGTACTACGAATGGTTAAGTGTAAGAAAACGAGAACAATGGACGTGCTATCAGAAATATTTAGCGGAGGAAAAGGAAAAAAAAAATGAATCGCGCAAGGGAAAAAATGGTTGAGGTGTCCCGGATATCAAGGTAGGTCTCTCTGTTACATTGTGACCACTCTATCGTAGTGGTCACTTTTGGCGATAATCTTCACCACATCTACGCTCGCTCTTGGGTGAGGTTATATTCTCAGCGCTTCTGCACTTTAATCGGATGCGCTTGTATCGCGTCTTTCTTGATGTTGATTAGACTTGAAGTAGTGAATGATTTTCAGTGTCAACATGCCTTGTAAGACGGTATTGTTTGGTGTGGATACACCATTCCTTACACCTCTCTTGTTCCGTCAAATGAGTGGTCGTGCTGGACGACGTGGTTTCGATCATTCCGGAAACGTATGCTTCATGAGCGTGCCTACAAGGTGAGTTTTCACGCTACTTCAATATCACCTTTACATCTTTTACTAAATGATTCGAATGGGCGGTAATTATTGTGAAGAAATTTTGATTCAATTTTTGAACGGCTTCTGTTCATTGTAATCTTTACCCCGATTTCTCAATTGATTATACTTACGTATCGCCTAAGTACTTGTTATTTTTAGTAAGATGCGTCGCCTTCTAACAGCGTCTCTTTCAACTCTACAAGGAAATCCGCCATTTTCTACCTCTTTCATACTTCGAGCACTGTCATATGTTCACCACAAGGACATTTTAACCGAGGATCGTAGCACAACGATTTCAACGTTTGCTCAGCGAGCAAAGGTGATTTGATTTCATGCTTGTAATCTCAAAATATTATAGGGTTTTGGTATTCAGTGCTCTTCTGTTGTTCTGGCATTCAAAATTTAGAAATTCCGGGGCCATGCAAGGTTTGAGGAAGAATACTTAATGCTATTCGACAAAGGGTTTTTAACTGCCTACAAGTTCGAAATTAGGTGTGCTCCTTTAAACGCAAATAGGGCAACAGAGCAACTGTGCGAACTATTTGAGGGGTCATGATGCTTTTGGTATTTGAAAATATAGCGGTCAAATTAGGTTTGCATGGTTTCATGTTTGAAAGCGTTATTAAGCGGTTGAATTTTTAGAGCGTATTGTCTCTGCTGCAGAATTCGTTCTCGTTATTCACTAGGCATGAGGCTGAGAGTGGAACCCTGCAAAGGCAATTGCGGATGTACACGGCTTTCTCCATCCAATTGTTGAGGCATCTACAACTGCTAGATGAAAATGCAAGTACTTCTTATTTTTCTACTTTATCCTATGTCACAGAACTAAGCTGCTTTTTAGTGCTGTGCCAAGAATTTGGCTGGATTCGCAGCATCTTTGGCAGAGGTGAACGCTGAGCCAGGAAATCTCGTATTCATACATTTGTTGCAGCGAGGTGCTCTTCATTTGATGCTCAGGCAAACTGAAGTAAGTATAGACCATTCTACTCTTGTAGTACATTGCATGTCAACTCATTTGACAAGAAAATATTTTAATTCGTTCGTCATCGAAGATTAAGTTTCGTATAGTGTGTATTTTAAATCTGAACATGTTTGTAAATAGATTTCCTGTACGATCTCTCGAAATTGTAAACGATAAGTTTCTATTTTGTTCATTTCTGAAATACCTTTCCAAAATATCCATAAATGTTATCATTTCAGGATAAGATGAAGGCGAAGTTGAAGATGATTACAGTGCTAGCGAATTTGTTCGTTCGGCATCGTCTACCCCACTGGCTACAAATGTCTGACAAGAACAGTTATCCACCTGAAACGCGTAATTTGGTGAGTGGCTAACATTTGCATATCTCGTGTCAGCTTTTTCAAAAAATACCACAACAGATGTATGTAATGATTTCTGGATGTTTACTTGAGCTTATTTCGCCGCTAAAGGTGTTCTTGTCTTTGTTTTCGTAGCCGTCAAATTAGGGATTTCCTGACTAGTGAGTGTGAGCTTTTGTTAGAGAGCCGTACTCCCATCAACCAGTGTTTAAGATCTCCAAAAACATAAAACATTGGAGAATTGATCGAGAAGTCCGCCGAAGGGCCACGCATCTCATGCAATCCATTGGGTTTGGCTTGTCAATGGGCTCAAGATCTCAGAAATATTGGTTTTGTATAATTGTTAAGCTTGTTTTTCCAGATATTCCTAGCTGATTTGCCTCACGAAATGTTAGCACTGGTGAATGAGTATAACAAAGTTGCTATCGGTCTTTATAACAAGTTTATGGCGGCCGCCTCTAATGATCGAAAACTTGTGGTGAGTTATGAATACCTGTTCATTAACTTTCCATAAGTATTGTTAGTTTTGCATATGGTTCTTATTCTTAATGTGAAGCATGATAGACACGGTTTTATTCAGTTCAGTGTAGATTCTGGACCAACTTTTGGTCAAATTCACTGCTAAATAATATTTTATAACTTTTTGTTACTTTTTGTATCTTGAACTATCTGATGCGCCAGCAGTGCACTGAGTTCACTGTAGTACTAAGTAGTCAGGCA